ACCATGGTATTACGGAATATTTGCTGATGAGTGTAAAATGTTTGTTGCAGTGTGTTCATGCAGAGAAGTTAGAGAATTAGCCATCTTCTGCAGTATGAATATTTTTGTACAATTAAAATGACAAGACGTTACATTGCCACGCCCACCCCTCCCCTCCCCGTACTTCCTTCCCGATTCACCATCAATATCACCTGATGGGCACCTTTTTACATTGATCCTCTGTCACGGCTCCAGATATATTGATGTTTCACGACAATACCTCGTCTTTGTCTCAAACTTGCTCAGCATCAAGGAACTGGTTGTCATTGTTAGGAATATTGGGGCCCATCGATGTGTGAGGACTTTGAGAATCACCTTGATCTGCAATGCTTTTCTTGGAAGGAAGTGTACAGTTTGCTTCGGAACTGAATGTTCTCAACAAACAGTGTGGAGAGCTCTGCACTGGCACACACCAAGATGGAGAGTGTGCTGACTGAAAGAATAAAAGCATCAAATAGGGGACAACTTGATAAGATTAGTGCTTAGATCTGATAGGAAGCTTGTTCTTTCAAGACTGAATTGGCAATCAGATGTTTTGCAATCTTTGACATAATATTTCTGTTCAAGACAAACTGGAAACACTTTCTACACACATTAAATGAAGTGGTGAAAACAAAACAAAACATTCCTATTTCAGTCAGCAGATTTAATGTAAAAAGGTTAAGTTTACACCTTGTATCAGATCTGTAGGTTTGTATATTTTAATTCATGTATTTTATTCATTTAGATGGCTTATTTTGACAAGTAATGAATCTATTTGTAACTTTTAAACATCTCATCAGATAAGGACTGCATCCAAGGTGACTCTAGTTTCTAAGTTGGACAGTCTTGATCTTTATAGATTTTTATATGTTTCAATAATGTTTTCTATGTGAGTTACTAGTAAGTTTAAGTCCAGGAAAAACACCAGTTTAGGTTCTGACTTGTTTTTTAAATGACTTATAACACTTGTACATAAATTCTTCAGACACTGTCAGACAGGCAAATTCTGAAATATCTTGATGAATCGTCTTCCCTGGAAGCTGGGAGCTGAAACTTGACTTTGATTAGTTAATACAGCATGTAAACTTCAACCAATGTTTATCAATTTAGGACAATTTTGCTCATATAATGGAGGTTGTTAATATCTCAACAACTGGTGTATCACCTGTGATTATGATTTCTTTTTCTCATATCATATCATTTTTCTTCTTCTGCTCCTTTGAATATTACGTTGATGCCAGATAGCTCCAACAAACCATTGGCTCGTCACACCGAAGACCCGGGTTCGAATCCCCACATGGGTACAATGTGTTAAGCCCATTTCTGGTGTCCCCCGCCGTGATGTTGCTGGAATATTGCTAAAAGCGGCGTAAAACCAAAACTCAGTCCAACAAACCACATTGCACTAGGGCTTCAACGAGTCCATTTTCTTGGACTCGAGTACACGAAGGGTGAGACTCGACTCGGACCCGAGTACTCGAAATTCATACCTTTCAAACAAACGATAGCGTAACCGGCATCACATGTGTTCCGATCACACAAGTGAACACTTACTTCATTCCGACTTCATATCGTCGTGTGACTAACATTTCCTATTGGTCAGAATCAGTATTTGGATGTTTACTTGCCATTTGTCTTTTTTTCATCGTACTGGTTGTACTGCCTGCATAACGCATTGATATACCGCACAGGCGGCATTTGGTTATTTTTCTCTTTTACTATCCAGATCAAGACACGCCCATACATTTGATTTTTTATCGTTCTCCATGTCTGTTAAGATAGTTACCTTATCATTTTAAGAAGTAAAATCCAAACCATGTATAATATTTACTCTCATCTGTAGACTTGTAACAACTAATACCATACAGCCACACCATGTGAGGAGTAAACTGTTTAATCTAGGTGTTAATAAAAACATTATCAGATGGGTTAAAGAATTCAGGGTACATAGAACTCAGATATCAATTGATATAGATATCAATCTTCTTTACTCTCAACCTCTACTGGAGCTCCACAGGACTGTGTTCTTTCATCCGTACTCTTCGTTTTGTATACCAATGACTGTTACTTCTCATTAAATGACTTGTTTACTGTGAAATTTGCAGATGACGCCACTGTTACTGGCCTAATTTCTGATTCTGGACCTTATTATTGTCAAGGCATTGACAAAACCGTAATGACAGTTTTTATCAAACCTTTATTCAAAGTGTGTTGACCTACAATTTTCTATGTTGGTATGGGGCCTGTCTGATCGCAACAAAACATTTCAAAATTGTTAATACTGCCGACTAAATTTCGAGTATATTCCCTTTATCAATGAGCGCCAGATTGTCAAAAAGGCAACTAAAATTAGATTTGATAGTTAACATATTTTATCTCACCATTTTGAAGTACTTCTTTCTGGACGCTGCTGTCGATTACCTTCCCTCAAAACAAACAGAGCTCGACAGTCTTTCATACCCTCAAGTATTCGTGAATGCAACAAATATTTTGAATTATCACCATGTGATAACAACTAGAATAATTCATCCTCTTTACCTATGTGGTTAATTGAATAATATCATGTCAGTTTTACTGTGTAAATAGCTTTCGTTTTGTGCATGTAATTATTGTGTATATTTTTTGTGAATTGTGTACATATTCATTTTGAGACAGTTTGGATGTATAAGAATTTCCTCCGGGATAATAAAGTTATATCTTATCTTAATATTAGACGTTAACGGTGGCTCATGCTCAGCACATGGCAGACAGTCTGTCAACGTAACCCAATAATTCGAGTTATCTCCCCTTTTCGAGTCCTCGAGTCCTAGAAAATGGACTCGAGTCCAGCTAAACCCGACTCGTCCTCGAGTACTCGAGTACCCGTGGAAGCCCTACATTGCACTAACAATTATGTAAGAGAAACACCAAAAAAACTAAAACAATTGTCAATTTCTGGAAATTTACCTGGCAAGCACACTGTCTTCTATATCTAGTACATGCCCTTATTTCTTATTTAGATGTGTGCAAATGTTTATTTCTATTCTAAAATTAAAACTTTGCAGTGGTCAATTACCGTATGTCAGGAAATCAGTGTTAATCTTTGAGGAAAGTATTTTAAACTGACCTATCAGTGGTGGCCATTCATTGGTTCGTAATATTTGAAAGTGCTGAGTAAGTAAGGTCAGATTGATCATGTAGTAAGGAAACATAAATTGATTGCATGCATGATGTGAAGTACTAGTTTTACCCCAGTCATGCCATGGGCTGATTGCTTTAAACAAAGTATACAACTTTCACAAAGGCCATACAAAGCTCTTATTAGTAGATAGTCCAAGAAATAACAGAGTTTGTAAATATTTAATGGTGATGAAGTTCACAGGGTGGGGAATCAATATGCTGGTTCTCAGGATGCTGCTGCTTGTCTGCAGGTGGGAGGAGGCATGCTATGGTAGATACAAGGATGGCAGGTCTGCTAGCCACTGAAAGAAATGAGGTTTTTGTTGTAGGAAAATACAATATTTGCTTTTGACTTCAGATGCACTATTCATGTCATGCCAACGATTCTGCCATCTCACTCCCACGATAGGTAGCAGAGTGTGACGCGTGTGTCACATGGTGACACTTTGTCAAGTTGAGTGTGACAGCACTCCTGGGAATGTCCTGCGCATTGATCAGGGAGCGTGCCCTTCCTTCCCTAGCACTGGTTAATTACTTATTTACCACAACGTGCATGGATATTCCTTTAAATTAATTCAAGAATGTTATCCAATAACTCAAGATAACTATCCCAGATGAAATGTTAGGTTTTGTGGTATAGAAAACTATTCAGTTTTCAAAGCAATAGATCAAATAAGAAAAATATATTGATGTTGTCCATATTTTATGCAGTTATTTCTATCAAAAACTGTCGAAAAGGCCTCTGTTCCAAGAATGTAAACATTCATTAAGATATGGAACCTTTAATGTACACATATTTTCACACATTTTGCAGCCTCAGTTCTCTGTGTTTTTTGTTGTTGTTGCTATTCCCATTATTGTTAACATTCTGTTGAGCATTCAGTCAGCTGATCTATAATCCTGAAACAACATAGTGTTAATGTAATCTGTGTTGGAGTTACCTCATTCGGTGGCAGTTTTGTATGTTGTTTAACACTTCATTCAACAATATTCCAGTCATATGACAGCGATCTGTACATATTTGAATCTAGACCAAACAATCCAATGACTGACATCACAAATGTTGTCCATCTTGATAGGGATACGATACATGTCATCGAAGTCAGTCAACCTGAGGGCCATAGCCTGTTTGTTGCCTATCTCAACAAGCATGTGGTGCCAAAGACCAATTGTGACCTGTGTCTTCACTAGGGACTATGGCAGTAACTTGTATTTTGTTTGTGCAGTTTGTAAAAACAATGCAAATGAATCAGTTAATATCAGACATGATTCTCCAACTCCATACACTGGTAAGGCATGTTCATGAAATGACCAGTGTATGTGTCATATGAGAAGGGCAGTATCTGACAAAAGTATCTGATAAACAGTGAAACCTAATTCTGGGAGATCATAGGCATAGACTGTAATGAATTAGTGCAAGTAAATAGAGACAAACTTGAGTTTATTTGTAGCTAGTTGTGCCTGCTGTTTTGAAGGTCTGTGTAGCGTTTAACATTTTTAATTGTTTCTTTGTAAAGTCATTCCTGTTTTAACAAACAGACGTCCAGGATCTTTTCTATATGTAAGTTGAAATATATTGGATTTAGTGAGGGTTGTTTGATCAATATTACCTGCTGATTGCAGGTGATGAGTGTGAATATGTAATCAGTGTTAGAGATGTGCGATCAGCCTCAGTGTATGCTTGTGTTTTTACTGGGGCTGCTCTGCCGCCCAACACACGTATGTACTTACCTTCTTGTGCAATATTTAATGAAGCATTGATTGGTTGAACGGAACTCTACCTGGAGCATTGTCATTGGTTGTAGCTTTTGTCATTTCAGGTGTGCTGGCAAGTTGTCGAACTGCAGCTATTTTTGAATCAACGACAAGCTAATTACGGCCTGTGACACTGCTAATTAGAGCCGTTGGGTTGCTAATTAGCACAGACGACACCTCTCTATCTTTGTTATCAACTTGGGCTTTGGCCACTACCCTGAACTCACGCTGGCATACGATATGTCTGAAGGGATGGAGGGATTGGAAGGTGAGACCTCTCAACATTCTGTCTGGAATATGAATTCAAAATATGAAATCCTTGCATTTCAAAGGAATCTGAAATAAAATATTACAGTGAATGATGGCTTTTGATCATTCAGTCAAGTTATCAAACAAAACTAAGAATGAAAACTGAGTACATTTTAGGGCACTTGAGAAGAGAGAGAAATAATAATTGTTTAAAATGCTAGTATATAACATAGGCATGTCTTTACATGTGCAGTGATGTGTTGAATATTAAACCTGATGACTTCCTGAACTATGAAGTCATCTAGTGCAGATGGAGGTGCTTATCACACAAGGTGTTAACTGTGCTAATTATGTTAGCTATTGGCTGCAGATGTCATGCTTAGTCAGTGGTTTAACAAAAGAAGAAATTGATTTTATGAATTATCACTCTTCTTGGAATGTAATATATGATAAGTGCATACTTTAATCTATAGTCTTCTTGAAGATATTGTGTGAAGCCCATTTCTGGTGTCCCCCGCCGTGATGTTGCTGGAATATTGCTAAAAGTGGCGTAAAACCAAACTCAGTCAGTCAGTCTTGAAGATATTAAAATATTCAATATTGACACAGTTTCTAAGTGGATTCATTTCACAAACTAATTTTCATTGAGATTGATTACAAAGAGCAGCACTTAGATGTTACTGGTATAATCCATTTGAAATTTACTGAAAAGTTGCATGAAGATTATATCTATCCCATATAATAATTTGCAGAGGTAAACTCCCTTGTTGGTTTACATGATCCCTGTTCTTGTTTTCCATGCTTTTACAAGTTCTTTGGGTGCTTTGATATTACAAAAGAACTGAAGAAATAGTGAAAGAATTATGGATATTCCCTTGTTTAAATAAGTTCATATTTTCCCATTAGTGTTCAAGGCATGTGAACAAATTCATTTCACAATATTTCACTAATTGCATGTTTGCTAAGACTCGAGCTGTTGTTGATTTGAAGACAGTGTTGTTAGATGTTATTATCAAAACAACATCACAGCTCTAAAACTGTTAATGATTTATTTAACACATGACTAAAGCTAAGATCAATATGTCCATTGGTAATGATGAGAAGTCATTGTTGTAGGTAAACAAATCTTTGTTTTCCTCATTAGGGAAAATGTGTAGTTAGTACTTGACTGTTTAATCATGTCAGAATATTTCAGTAATTGAAATGGTGATAACAGAATTGTACATGTGTTAATTTTTGCTGTTATATTGGCACTGTGATCAAGGTGTCTTTAACTGCATCCTGAATGGAGGATAAAGAAAGTGAGTAGAGAAATAAGCTGACACATGCTTGTCATGCACATTCCAACAACACTTGCTCTACTATGTCATGCCGACAGGCACAATGTGCTGTAGACTTGTAAGAGAGAGAGAAGCTGTAGGACCATCTCCAGTTAGAGAGTCCCTCTCCGGAAAGCAGGACAGATCAGTGCAGGGCGTTGCATACCTGAAGACACTAACAAATGGTGCTTGTTTTTACCCTGCTTAGGGTGAAACAAGAACTGGTCAGCATAGTCAGTACACTGAGTCTGAGTGGGCTAAAACCTCGGCATGGTAGCTCAGTCGGCTAGCTCTATAAGAACAGACTAGTACAAGCAGGCTGTATAAGTGTGGTAATGGTGAACATGATGTTAAACCTCATTTAACCTCACCAGTCCTATTCTTGGCAGTGCACATGGCTGCTTATATATGTTGGTGGTTTTGTTAATAAACAAATCTGGAACAGATAATCCGGTGATTGACATTATGAGCATCAATCTTTACAATTATGGATGCGATGACATGCTCCAACCGAGTGTGACCACCGACTCCTTTTAATCACCTCATACAACAAACTACAATGAGTTCTGACCTGCATCTTCAGGCTTGGTAAGTTTCGACTTCAGGTGGAAGAGACAAAGCCTTCCTCTCAGTGTTATATGCTGTTATTCCCCTAATACAAGCTGCTCAAAGAACTTTCTCTGTAGTGGATTTTGGTGTGATCATTATTGACATAATCCAGCTGTTGAAAATCATTTTTGTCCTTTATTTGCAAAGCTGTTATTCCTATAATCAAAACCGTGTCATTTTATCCAACTAGTTCAAGATAGAAATTACGTTGTCCTCCTCTACACACACACACCACACCACACCACACCACACCACACCACACCACATACACACCACATACACACATGTATTTCGCACATACTGATTCCCTATGATATACAAATATACCATCCCCCACACCTAAGGAACAGTTAATGTGATTGATAATGGAGAATTTAGTGCCAGTTGGCATAATGAGGTTTCAGTTCCAGCTCATGTGACAGGGTGTGTTGCTTGTGTTGCCGTGGAAATGGCAATGCAATTAATCACCTGTGTTTGGTTATGCTGCAGCTAAACGGGAAATATTAACAGACTTCATACCTGCTCCATCTGGGTTATCTTTCAGTGCCAATTGGAAATATGGGTGGTTCTTGTAATTAATTTACTATATGGAAGTGTTATATAACCATACTTTCACACCCTTAAAGGTTTTATGGTGCCAAAAATAATTCTCAAAAAATCTTGTCCTGTTTTCAAATTGATTAAAGTTGAGACCAAGACATCAACCAAATAACAAATATGTCTTCCTGAAATCTTTCTTTCATTTATCATCCACATATTTCTGGGTGTATTGACTGCCTCATTTTCTTGTACTGATATTTCTGGGTTCCACAAGAACACAAGTGTGTTATTATGAAAGGATTATTGGATTGACATGATCACGTGACAGGGAGGGGCCCATATATGAAGAGCTCATGTGATGCTGTACTAATAATGTGTTGCAGATTATCACCATTTGTTCTCATCTACTGTCTTTTGATGAGTCATAAATGAAGGTCAATGATCAGTTTGCCTACAAGATCATGGCATATTATGTACTCACTACAACCTGTTGGACACTCAGTTGTCATTTACCTATATCTTATCCATCTGAGGTTAATTGCAGGCTCTTGAATTGTTTTGGAATGTTGTAAAAAAGATGATCAATGATATAAGTATTTTCCTTAGAATAAGATATACTTATCCTGAACTTGTCAAACCTCATCTTTTACATTAAATTTTATTCCTTAACAGTAACTGTCCCCAGACTCGGGTTTCTAAGCCAAAATGTGTCTTGCATCTGACTTCAGACAAGTGACAGTAACTGTCCCCAGACTCGGGTTCTAAGCCAAAATGTGTCTTGCATCTGACTTCAGACAAGTGACAGTAACTGTCCCCAGACTCGGGTTCTAAGCCAAAATGTGTCTTTGCGCCTGACTTCAGACAAGTGACAGTAACTGTCCCCAGACTCGGGTTCTAAGCCAAAATGTGTCTTGCATCTGACTTCAGACAAGTGACAGTAACTGTCCCCAGACTCGGGGTTCTAAGCCAAAATGTGTCTTGCATCTGACTTCAGACAAGTGACAGTAACTGTCCCCAGACTCGGGGTTCTAAGCCAAAATGTGTCTTGCATCTGACTTCAGACAAGTGACAGTAACTGTCCCCAGACTCGGGTTCTAAGCCAAAATGTGTCCTGCATCTGACTTCAGACAAGTGAGATGAAGGCACTGACTGGCAACATCATCAAAATGCCTTGCCAGAGTAAAACATTTCCAGTGAACTAGCTCAAGATCATTCATAATATGATTGTTCAGAAATTATGTTACAGAAATTCAACTTAATCCTTGACTGAAATTGTTTGTACCGCAGGATGACCACTTCTTTTAAGAATGTCATCCTAGCTTCCTGCACAAAAGCTTTTATCGTTGGTAGAAATTTTCATCTGAGAGGGGCACATTCTAAATCCAAAGTTTAAACAGTCATGGATATTTGATGCCTTGAATTATCAAATTACCTTAATGAGCTATGAGTTATACATGAAAGTTTGTGTTTATCACAGCCTGCTCAGGTGTGTTTGTAGAGAGATTGGAAGGCTTAGCTTTCTGCAGTGAAGGCAAATACTGTTTAGCTGAGAATTGCTGGAATTAAGGTGCTCAGTCGTGTGATTTAGATGCTGATTTGAAATTAATTCGGCACCATTGAATGCTTATCACCTGAGGCCGGGCGTGAGAATCGAGCATCAACGGTGTCGACGTCACGCTTGGATCAGAGAGTGCAGGATTTGTACGGTGATGCTTCACTGCCATTGCCGCAACTGGACCCAGGGATTGTATTGATCCCATAATGGACCCATCCACACCCGATCTCGTTTACTTCCTGTGACTGCCACAATGCAAGCGTCCAATATCGCCTCAGAATCATGGATTTTTCTGACAAATGTGAAATCTCAATGAAATCTTTTCAGGAAAAAAAATCAAAATAATGGCATTTTCAGGTAGCAAGCTTTGGCCGAGTCAATTGGGAACAATAGGTTGTTGTGTAGAGTGAATAGATGGGATGTTGCTGCTGCCAGTGTCAGGGAATTCAGAAACAGGAATTCTATCAAAAGTGAAGCCAGTATAGTATGTCCACTTCTTATCAAGTGAAGTATTTTTTTAACCATTTGTCTATAAATACCCTTTTCAAAAATGGATACCCTCCTGTTTTCCAGCCTCAGGAACCTCGGGCATATTATTATAATCATTTAAGCATGTCTGATTCACCTTTCACACCACGGGTAACAGTATGTGGAGATCACCTTTACAGTAAATTCAGTCTTTGACTTTGAAGACAAATCTGATTGAGGGTTTCAGGTTGGCTGATTATTAACATATATAGTCTGTTGAGTCAGATGACATCTATTCAGAGAGTTATCTAACCCCTGTAGAGAAATGTCTGTACCCAAGCTGTGATGGATGTGTGTGTGTGTCCCACGCGGCAGCTGAGAACACTTTATCCACATCATTAGCAATATCGTTCTCTAATGTATCCCTATGACTGTAACGAATTCTGTACCATGTTGTATGGTAAGACAAAATACCATGTGGTTAAAAGGAAAATGTGAAACTAATACAGGAACTTGGTATTGTATTAC